TGTACGCACCTCCCCTTCTGTATCAACAGTATATAGTCAGACCTATTTGGATGTCTAAACTGTTGGCCCCTATCATTACCTACGAGTGCTAAGGACGAAACAGCTGTATGATGCAGTGTAATGGATTTTTTACGTACTGTATATATTACCAAATTTTAACGGTGGAATGTAACATCCATTATTGTAGCCCCACCCACTAGTGTACCCTGGTTTCACAAGTGGGGACAGATGCAACCACTATTTCAACCCTGCGAAGGGTTATCGCAATGGCTGACCATATCGATACATTTTAACTATTCATTTCTTTCCTAAAAGCGTATTTTCAATAAGGGTTTATGTTTGCAAGCATAGCAATGGCCATTTTCGGTCAAGATATTTAGAGACTATATAGATTCGGTCTCCCTCACCCTTTCTCCCTCGCTCTCACCCTTTCTCCCTCGCACTCACCCTCTCCCTCCTCACACTCTCTCCCGCACACTTTTTACACACTCTCTTACAAAAAACTATGTATTAGGCCAATCAGGGATTAGGGGAGCTTTGATTACACATCAGCGCATAGTTATACACTTCTATGTTTGAAACAAAAAAAACATTAACTGTAAGAAAAACGTACACTTTTATATAAAAAAAAATCGATTTACGCAGGGTAACAGTTTTTATAACATTAATTATCATATTACAACACTATTCCTGCTATTAATCCATTTACAGGAATATATTCGATTGTGTTTTGAACAATTGTATTTTAACTATGTTTTAAATAGTAAAGTAAAACATCTAAATTTAATTTATTTTGGTTGATTCAAAGATGAGTAAGGTGGTAGGTAACTCTTGATCTGTTTTATTCTATATCAGGTATACCTACTACAGTGAAATCCCTCCCGATACCGCTACTAATCCCTGTAATTACCGGTACCAGTACTAGTACTGCTCACGTCAACGGCCTACTGACTATCTCCCGAAACGCATTATTTGTATTAATGAAAAATGGTTTTATAGACTGTGTAGTAGCACGTTAGTTGCCTCCACTGTAGTATGTATCTACCACAGGGGACTCTCGGAAATTACTTGCCTCCGGTGTAGTATGTATCTACCACAGGGGACTGTCGCACGTTAGTTTCCTCCATTGTAGTATGTATCTACCACAGGGGACTGTAGCACGTTACTTGCCTCCACTGTAGTATGTATCTACCACAGGGGACTGTAGCACGTTTCTTGCCTCCACTGTAGTATGTATCTACCACAGGGGACCCTCGCACGTTACTTGTCTCCACTGTAGTATGTAGCTACCACAGGGGACTGCCGCACGTTACTTGCCTCCACTGTAGTATGTATCTACCACAGGGGACTCTCGCACGTTACTTGCCTCCACTGTAGTATGTAGCTACCACAGGGGACTGCCGCACGTTACTTGCCTCCACTGTAGTATGTATCTACCACAGGGGACTGTCGCACGTTACTTGCCTCCACTGTAGTATGTATCTACCACAGGGGACTGTCGCACGTTAGTTGTCTCGGCTGTAGTATGTATCTACCACAGGGGACCCTCGCAAGTTACTTGCTTCCACTGTAGTATGTATCTACCACAGGGGACTGTCGCACGTTACTTGCCTCTTCTGTAGTATGTATCTACCACAGGGGACCCTTGCAAGTTACTTGCTTCCACTGTAGTATGTATCTATCACAGGGGACTGTCGCACGTTACTTGCCTCCACTGTAGTATGTATCTACCACAGGAGACCTTCGCAAGTTACTTGCCTCCGCTGTAGTATGTATCTACCACAGGGGACTCTCGCACGTTACTTGCCTCCACTGTAGTATGTATCTACCACAGGGAACTGTCGCACGGTTCTTGCCTCCCCTATAGTATATATTATATCTTCAATTATGAAGGTCCAATTTAATTGAAGATAGGTTCAATTCAATTGGAGATTAAATTTAATTATAATTTAATTGGAGATGGTACAAATAATTGTCCATTGCAATTGAATTGAACGTATCTTCAATTAATTGTAACTATCTTCAATTGGATTGTACTTATCTTTGAAGATAGGTACAATTAATTGAAGATATGTTAATTTGGCGTTCCATACAGGTACATAGCTCTATATTGATGCATTAAAACAAAAACAACAAACATTGAAAATGTTGACTGTCACACTTTCATACGAAGAAGGTAGGCCTAACGACCATACAAATATTCGCCTGGTCGTTTCGTCAGTACATACTTTTGAAAAGTAAAACGGTTATAACTATTGTTATTTCTTCCATACGAAAGTAGAGAAACTTAGCTGATGATAACCTTCGTAAAGTGAGAGTACTAATAAGTACAGTTTTAACCATGGACAAAATATCCCTTGTCAGTCAAACCACGGACTTAGATAGTCAAACTTCATCGTTGCCTTTCGAATACTAGTATTGTAAAACTTTGCTAAGCGCAGAGAGATCAGGCCATCTGGAAAGCTTGAAGGAGGAAGTGGATGCTCATCTCAAAGGTGTCAATTCAGACAACAGGAGAGCAGAACCTTTAGGATATTGTCAAGAATATTAGAGGTAGATGTTCCAAGTGCACAATTGGATACCAAACTTCCTACCTGGAAAGAGATTCAAGATGTGGTGAAGAAGGCAAGATCAGGATCAGCCCCAGGTCCAAGTGGGATAACATACAGAGTTTACAAGAAATGTCCAAGACTGCTAAGGAGACTGTGGCAGCTAATCTGTAAAGTATGGAAGAAAGGGACCATACCGGCGTGCTGGAAGAAAGTAGAGGGAATCTTTGCTCCTTAAGAGAAAGACTCCAAGACGGTAGAACAATTTATGACCATATCGCTGCTGAGTGTCGAAGGGAAGATCTTCTTCTCGATACTTGCCAAGCGCATGACAGCCTACATGGTGGATAACAGTAACGTCGACACCTCAAGTCAGAAGGGAGGAATCCCCGGGTTTTCAGGATGCGAAGAACATACAAGCGTCGTTGTTTTCAAAAGCTACTTCTGCACTAGCTGTTCCATTGTTACGTTGACAACGATGTTTTACAAGCTTCCAAAAGGTCCGCTGATCTACCTCAGCTGCTTCTGCAATGTCATCATTGAGTTTCTGTAAATGCTCCTCTGACAGTCGACGGTGAGCTCTACGAAAGTCGCGCTTTGCCTCTTTATACAAACGAAAAGACTCGGCATTGGGGCCCCGTGGTCGGCCAAGCCTAACCCAACTGCAGGGAAGATTCCACATTCGTTTATGGAGATCCTTGAGATGACCATTCCAATACGGCTTAAGATAGAAGCGAAGTTTCTTTTTAGGCAGAGAAGTAAAAGAGGCTTCTTTAATCACTTCAACAAGATCAGATGTAAAGGTTTCAATTTCACCACAAGTCGAAATTTCACGTTCAAGTAAACCAGAGTCACCGTCGCAATAGACGTTCAACATTTCTGCAATATACGTCAACGTTTCTATTGTCGCCAGAGGTGATACACTTGAACGATGTTCTTTCAAAAGTCTTTGCAGAACTGTGAACGTTCTGTAGAAATTGATCAGGTATACTGTATATCGCAGAATATGGCTCTGTGGTTAGACACGTCAAGGAAGCTGTCGTCTGAGGTTTTACAGTCACTGACCAGGTCAGTCTTTCCTGAGTCTATAATGATATAATCCACTAAGGAGCAGGGCTCCATCGTCACCATGATTGGTGAGGTGTTTTTTTTACCCGACACCAATCAAATAGCTTAGCAGCGTGCCTTCATTTTTACTGTAGAACATATTCCAGGGGTGTAACAGTTAAAGAGCGAAACTGAGCGTAACCCCTGGATATCGAGGATACGAGGAAACAGCTAGGTTACAGTTAGGCCTACTAGTAATCCATTTAATATTTTCCAAATATAGCTGTAACAAATTCTCAGGTCCCTGTGGTTCAGGTTGGTCTTTTTTATTTATGTCGTTATATAATGATATATATATTTAGTAGGGGTGTAAAAGATGTGGATTAATTACTAAATTAGGTTGCCTTACAAGCGTCACCAGTAGTGAATTTCCCTTTAGCTCAGCGGTAGAGCATCGGGCTGAAGAACTAAGGGTCGCGGGTTCGAGCCCCAGCGACGGCATTATCTTTATCACTATTCCTCGTTCTATTAAACAATTGTGCCGTTGACCCTCCCCGTTCAAGGTAGGAGAACCCTAGGCGGGAGTCAAAAACCGGGGTTGGTGTTTGACACGAGTCACAGCGACGGCATATTATATTTATCACTATATATTCCTCGTAACTCTATAACAATTACAAATGGTAGTATTAGTCATTATAGTTAATAAATCATTTTTCCTTTATTGTCCTACTATCTACCACCCATAACTTCAATATTTTATTAACGAAATAAAAATAATTGGATACTGGTTATCTATAGGAAAAAACTTATAAGGCTTAGCCTGTTGTCTTATCCGTTTGTTAATGTACTGTTATATTTCTTCTGTAATACTGGTAATTAGCTTTGTTTGTATTGACAATAAAATATTTTGAAAACGGGTCCAGTAAAAATCTCTCGTCGTTAGAATGCTCATTTTGTCATCCGCAGTAGAACTGCTCGCTCTTGGGCTTTATCTGTTGTAGTCGTTCAACAACGCTGCAACTATCGATAGGTAAGCTTTTGAAAAATGAGAAAAATAAGTCTGATTATATAAAATTTATACATTGTTGTATTCCGCAATTTTCGTTCTCGAGCCCATCCGTAGGTCTGGACTGCCAGGCTAAGGGGTCACGCTTGTAAAAATATGATATTGCAAGTGATAAGGACGGAATAGTAGGTAGGTTAGTTGTTTACATCTGTTCCCCATAATGGTAAACATTGTTATAGGCAAATACGTCCTTAAACTGTCAAGATTCAACAGCGCTCAATCGCCACGAGTGACCGCCGTATTGTTTACACAAGTTTAACCACTTGACCTCTGACCCAAGATGGCGGCGGGAACTGTCAAACGTACAGGGGTACCATTGGTATCAAGCTTCTTTCCCACCAAGACGTGAAGTGGATCAAGGGAGAGAACCAGTCTAGTACAAGGTCAAGGCAAACACGTGGAATTCGTACTTGGTATTATAAACGTTGTTCTTCTTCGTCACCTACACAACAACATAAGATGAGTTTGTGCAAGATCATACGAGGCCTATCGGTTTCTCTTCCACGTTGCCGACTTCTGTTACAGTCACAGAATGTATCGAGAATCGCAAGGTAATAGGTGCATCATGATGTGACAGAAATCACATGTCCGTTTGTCTCTCATTCAGTCAAACATTGACATTGGATCTTCTGCTCTCTGAATTTTATTTGTATATGGATGTTTAGTGGTTAGCCGTGTGGAGTTGTAAGCCGATTAAAAGTCATGTTCAAATTCAGACGATACAGTCATAAAACGACAGATGCGTGTATGTTGGGGCACAGGCATTTGTTACTGTCAATTAAAATAGTCATGAGAAAAAAAATCGCCACCTCAGGTGGCAGTACCCAAATCGGATCACCTTTGTTAAAAATACTTATAAATCAATAAATGTGCCAAAAATCAGTTATAACAATGATGTATTCTAAGAAGAGATAGCAATGCATCATTTTATTTCTACAGATGATTCGTTTTTAAGTTCAAATTGCACAAGAAAACGTAATTCCAACTCAAATGTCAGTGTTTTGATTAAGTTTATAAGAAATGGCCCGTGCGACGACTCTGCATTCTGTTTTGGACAATAGGAATGAATTAACACTGTAGAAATACTTTTTGTCATATCAATTCTAAAGGTCATCATAAAAGGCTAAGATGTTGGCAATGAAATATTCATTTGAAGCGCAAGATACTGCAAAATTCAAGCCGTGATCCGATTTGGGTCCAGAGATCGCAAAAAACGGATATGCTGATTGGTGACTTCAGAGCGTTCTATAAATATCTCACGTGAGCCCCGGTTGCTAATTTCATTTGTAAGAACACCCATCAATATTCTTTCTTTAATACAGCCATCAATGAATATAATTCCTCCTCAGATTTTTAAATGAATTTACAAACTGATGGTTTGGTGATCCGATTCGGGTACAGCTGTCACCTTACTCATAAAATATACCAATTGATATATTTTACGAGTAGGGTATGATTTTTTTCTCGGGACTTTTTTTATTGCCCAAGATGGATACATAGGGATTTTGAGGGATACAGAACACAATGGTAACAGTTTCGGACAGCTCAGTTGCAATGGTAACGAAATGGAGGTGTCTGATTGGTCTAGAGCATCATTTGGCAACTGAGACTGAATTTTGTATAAACAGTGTGTTCCCCCCTCACTTTCCCCTTGAGGCAGAGGGTCAGGGTTAGAGAAATAATGGTAAATCAATAAAATCCTTCACCTTCTGTATGAATTGGGATTTTATCCCCACCCTATAACCATATATACAATTGCTAGGCATGAAGAGAAGAAGAAAATGTTCATGCTACCAGGTTTGGCCCCAAAGTCCTTCTTGCAAAACTTGGTTTTCTTGTATTCCTTTGATAAACTGGTTTGTTAATCAGCAGGTTTTAAAGATAAACAAATACTCTGTGAGCTATTAAGGCCCCTGGGTCTCTAGTTAAAGATTTTGAACTTTTAAATGTTAATGAAGCAAAAAGCAAATGACCATAACATATTTGGATGCGTTACAATGTTTTAGAACATCAGTTGGGTTTCAACAAACGGCTTTTGAACCACATATCCTGCCTGCTGCAAGTTTCTGTACAACAAATACTGAGAGAGAGGTAGGTAGTTTTATAACTTTCTGTGCATCAAAAGATGGGATGGATGAATTTCTGTTCATCAAATGATGAAGTTTCGGTTCACCAAATGATAAAGTACATTTTTAGCTCACAAATCAAATACTCATCATAGATGGATCGGTCCTAAGGTGCTTTATGAAAATTGTAATTTTCACTACCCCCGGGTCACCCATTCCTCCCTGGAGAGGGGGTGAAGTTTACTATATAGTTTATATAGAGTAATAACACTTTTGGGTATTTGTTTATTTCAAAGTGGTGGGATATAATTCAAATTTGGTGCGAATTATCATCATGTAATTGCAATTTGATAGTTTGAAAATTAATACCATGGTTCGTCTCCAGGGTATTAGTGTTAGGACCAAAATGTTAGAATCAAATCCTCTTCATGGCTGGGAGGGCCTAATTATAAGGTGCTGTTGCTGTTTTTTTGATACATCACAACAACAAAGTACTTTGCTTTTATATCTAATACAAAGTGACGGTGAAGGCTCATGGGCCTGTTGTCTAATTATTTATGCTAGATTAAAGTGGTTCCAACTTTTTGTCGGGGTAAATTCAGATTGTTCAATCTTGCAGTGGCTATGATCTTATGCAATTCAAACAGGATTGACAGTACATATTTAATTTTGTTATCTGACGAGACGTTTTCCGTATCTAGGTGTAAGCGATGCATACCAAATGAAACCTTGAGTGAATCATAAGTTTACGAGAGCTTTCTGCATTAAGTCTATGTAGTTGGATACACAAGTCAATAACTATTCTTCACATTCTTATTTTCTTGCTTTTTTTTCAATTTTCAGTCAGTGTTTATGACATTATTGGGTGTGCCCTGGAGATCATCTGAAAAGGACATTGTAGATTTCTTAAAAGGTAAGACAGCATTGGTATTTTCCTTTACCAAATAAATTTTCATAATCGTAATTTAAGCTTTATATTTAGGTTGTCTGAGATTTCTCAGGTGACTTATTGCGATCGCCCTTTGTCCGACGTTGTCCGTTGTGCGTCCATAAACAATTTACATTTTCAACTTCTATACCAAAACCCCTGAATTAATTTCAATGAAATTTTGCAGAAATCTTCCATGGCCAAAGGTCAACCAAAATTGTGAATTATATGGTCCCCAGCCCCTATGGGCCTGAGGGGCGGGGCAAAAAAACGGTCAAATCGACTAAAATTTCAAAAATCTTGTCAAGATCCTGATATGATAGAATCAAATACTCTTCAAAGATGGAAGGGTCTTTAGGTGCTTTACCAAAATTGTGAATTTCATGACCCTGATGTCTCGCGTTTCCCCCTGGGAGGGGATAAACTTTACTATTACCCCAAGGGCTAGAGGGGTTCAGTGAGCACCCCCTTGCTGTCAAAGGGTGGCCTCATTTTTTCATAAGTATGAACCTTCTAGAACATATTTCAGCTGGCCACCCCTCTGAGAAATCCATTGGTGATTTTTTGTGGGGTCATATACAACCTACCTTAGCAAAAAAAATGACATTTGGAAAAAAAGGGGGTAGGGGTACAGAAAGTGCTATTTCATTTCTCATCATCACCATATGAATAATTAGATGGTATGTTAAGTTTACAGTTTGAGCTTCATAGTTTATATTGGGAAATCACATTTTTGAGTGTCATTTGTTTAATTGCCATTAGAAATAATTTAAGCTTTGTTAGAATTATTGGTACTAATGGTATGCATGTACAGTTATTCACCCTTGCTGACCCCCAGCGGTTGATCGGCGATTTTTTTTTTGGTCAAATTGACTTAAATTTTAAAAAGTCTTCTTTTCAGTTCCCAGATAGGGTAGAAATACATACTCTTCATAGATAAAAGGGTCTTCAGGTGGTTTATCAGAAGTATGAACTAGTTATCCCATGGCTTCCTATTCCTCCATGGGAGGGGGTGAAATAAATTAATATAGTCTATATAGGAAAACAATGCTTTTGGGTTCATTTTGTTGATTTTCAACTGCAATTATAACACTATTGACTGTTTGACACCTCGAATATTTAGACCCTGGCCCACCCTAGGGGGTGCAGGGTTAGTTAACAGGGATAAAATAAAGTATATATGCCGACATTTCTGTCTACCTTTCTACAGTCCTCTTATAAGACTCTGATATGCTAGAAAGAAATACTCTTTCTAGAGAAAAGGGTCTTTAAAGGTGGTTTATCAATATTGTGAAATTTAATACCCAATGGGCTGAGTTTGAGCTATACCTTTCCCCCTGGGGAGTATTTGATTGGAATTAAAACTCTATGAGATTAGAGTTTGATGCTATTTTACCCTGGTGCTCCACCAGGGCTAATTAGAGCGTGGCTTATATAATATACCTTGTAGGTGTAAAATTCTTACATTTAACAACATTTTTTAGGTCACCTGAGATTTGCTCAAGTGACCTATTTTAATCGCTTTCCGTCCTTCGTCTGTCGTGCGTAAACTTTTTACATTTTCAACTTCTTCTCAAGAACCAGTGGATGGATTTTTGGGATTCCTACCCCAACCCCTGGGGCCAGGACGCCCCAAAAGGAAAATTAAACAATATTTTAAAAATCTTCTTCTCCAGACTCAGAGGTACTACAATCGTTTTCTCTGCATGGAAAGAAAGATCATCAGGGGCTTTACTTAAATTGTAAATTTCAGGACCCCGGATCTATTCTTTCTCCCTTGGGGAGGGGGTAAAGTTTACTACAGTTTTATAGGGAAACAACACTTTTGGGTATATTTCGACAACTTTCTGTAGGATATTTTTTTTACTTGGTGAGAATTATCCTTGGAGGAAGATGGTTCCAAATTGTAAAATTGAAATTCCTACCCCAGCCCTAAGGGGCAGGGCGGGCCCTCAGAGGGAAAATTAACCAATATTTCCAAAATTTTCTCCTGAGGTAATACATTCATTTCCTCTGTATGGAAAAAATATCATCATGTGCTCTAATTAAATCGTAAATTTCAGGACCCCCGAGCTATCCGTTCTCCCTTGGGGAGGGGGTAAAGTTTACTATAGTTCATATAGGGAAATAACACTTTTGGGTATATATTTTATCCATTTTCAGCAGAAAATTACTCAAACTTATTCAGAATCATCTTTGGTGAATGAGAGTATTACTTTGTAAAATTGGGATTGCTGCCCCATCCCCAGGGGCTAGGGCGGGGCCCCAAAGGGAACATTTACCAATATTTTCAAATTCTTATCCTTGACAAGTATTGTATTTCGCTTAGTTTACATGCTGATTTCCACATCACATCTTAGCAATAAAATAAAGCTACCAGTATCTATAATATAACTCAGGTGACCGCTAAGGCCCTTTGGCCTCTTGTTCTTTTTTTCTTTGGGTTCAGGTGTTGGAATCAAATACTCTTCATTATTGAGGATAACACATTTGCCTTTGGGGAGAAATGTTAACTGTAGTTTACTGTTGATTGATCAGCGTTACATTGATGTTTGGTCAAAATAATTCAAGTTTCTAGGTCACCTGAGACGCAGGGCCCAATAGGAGAAATATAGCAAATTCTTTAAAATCCTTCTTCTTCTGTAGCAATGAAAGGATTTGTTCCATATTTGGTCTGAAGCATCCTTGGGGGAAGGGGAACCAATTTCATTTAAACCGTGGGTCCAGCCCCCATGGGACCTGAGGGGCGGGGCGAAAAACGGGGCAATTGTGCTATATTGATTGAAGGGACTTCTTCTCTGGAACTAAGAGATAGATATCAACCATATTTGACTGGAAGCATCCCTCGTAGTGGAGATTCAAAATTGTACAAAAGTTTGGGCTGACTCCCAAGAGGGCTGAGGGGAGGGTCTAAAAGGGGGCAATTTGGCTATATTGCTATTAACGACTTCTTCCATAGAATTTAGCCATGGATATTGATCGTGTCAGAGGCATTCATGGGAGGCAGGGATTCAAAATTGTACAAATGGTTGGGCTGGTCTAGTTTCTGAGTCACAGCTTGGAAACAGTTGAGATCCCCATCCCATAACCATATATTAAATTGCTGGGCATGAAAAATCTAATACAGACATATGTACAAGAATGTACAGCGTAAACTTTTGTTTGTCGGCAATCTTCTCCTACATTTTTTGACCGATTTCTTTGAAACCTGGTATACATTATAATCATGATATGAAGTTGTGTTTCCCCTAAAAGAATTTTGATTCAACAATTTTACCAAAAGTTATTGCCCTTTGTTCATTTCAGTAAGTATTTAACACTATATGGCATTTGACGAGCGTATATTGTTCCGCCCTGCGGTACTCTTGTTGTTTTATCTATCAGAGTTGTCATTCCTTACACTATCGACGAAACCATACGCGCGGAAATTTACGCACACTCAGACATGATTCTAGTTTTTTCTGGTTTTGAGATCTTCCCCATATCTTCCGACTATCGTTTTCTATCTTGCTTGGTATCGAGTATTGGTCTCGCTGGGTATAAAAAGTGCATTACCTGTCATTTGTTGAATATGTGCACAAGGTGACACTTCTTCAATATATATATATAGAACACTTTCACTCCATCATTTGTGCAAAGAAATTTTGGCATTATAAAAAGGTTTGGCAATAAATTGATGGAAAGATATGTTGGCATTATAAAAGGGTTTGGCAATAAATTGATGGAAAGATATGTTGGCATTATAAAAGGGTTTGGCAATAGATTGATGGAAAGATATGTTGGCATTACAAAAGGGTTTGGCAATAAATTAATGGAAAGATATGTTGGCGGTAAGCGAGGTCGCAATTGAAATGATAGGCATTATATCAGTGTTTAACTGTGCATGTGTTTCTAAATTCTATTAATATTTGCGATCTTATTCAAGCATTGAACTGTTTTTGTATGGTATTTATGATCTATTTGAATGACACAGCTTTGCAAGCAAACAACGCGCATTATGATTTGTTTGCTTGCAAAGCAGTGTCATTCAAATAGATCATAAATAACATACAAAAACAGTTCAATACTTATATTTATTTTTTTCTCTGCCTCTTATGTTCTTTTTTAACTTATAATTTATATTTCAAATTAAAATTGCCCGCCTTAATGACAGTCCACACAATTTCGTTCAATAGTTTGAACAGCGTATTGTTACGTGCTGATTGGCAAACAAAGTAGTAAATTTTAACAAACTCTTCAATTTTATTCCACAATTCAGTATCAATACAATTGCGTATGATATGTCTATAGGGTGATTTAAGTTTATCAATTAAACTCTGAGCTGAAAGTTAGAATTGAAATTGTTTCGATTTTCCTGCGGAACAAATTTCTCGCACGGACAAATACAGTGAACACCGTAAATCCGACCTTGCCCTCCACGAGGGAGTTATTTTTGGAAGTTATTTCAAACTTTTCTCTTTGCTCATTTTGTGAAGAATCCAGGCGTGAATTTATTTGTTGATTGTATGGGAACCTGACAACAGTCGGTAGATTCTATAACAGCCTCATTATTTGACATGTCGTCAGAAATTGAGGAACCGTGGATGCAAGACGCGTGAAACTGATAGCGTTTTAAGTGAGTGATCTTGCAACGGAGCACAGGTTCGTTACAAATGTCTGAAATGTATCAGTAGGTATATAGAATATGTGTATTTCAGACGTTTGTAACGAACCCCTGTTATCAGTGCAGTGTAACAGACATTATTTCTGATAAATTGCAAGAGCGTTAAAATTGTTTCCATTGCCAGCATTGGTGATTTCAACCAATATGCATTTTGTACGATATATCAGACCTTGGTCTTGTTTTCGTTGTAATAAAAGTGTTTTTATTTTATTTTTAGCTCACCTGGCACGAAGTGCCAAGTGAGCTTATGCCGTGACGCGGCGTCCGTCCGTCCGTCCGTCAACTTTTCCTTTAAACAACTTCTTCTGAAGAACGGACAGGCCTAGAGTCATGATATTTGGCTGAAAGCTTCGTTGGTAGGAGCCCTACAAAGTTTGAGAACGAAAATGACCTTGACCTGTTTTCAAGGTCACAGGGGTCAAATATGTCAAAAACTTCAAAC